TTGTATCAGCAATGGAGTGGCCAGCAGGAGCAGGGCAGGGATTGTGCCCCTGTGCTGGGCACTGGTGAGGCCACTCCTCAAATCCTGTGTTCAGTTTTGGGCCCCTCACTCCCAGAAGGACATTGAGGGGCTGGAGCATGGCCAGAGAAGGGCAAGGGAGCTGGGGAGGGGTCTGGAGCAGCCGAATGATGCGGAGTGGCTGAGGGAGCTGGGGTTGTTTGAAGAAGAGAAGGTGAGGGGAGACCTTATCCCCTCTACAGCTCCTGAAAGAAAGGTGTAGTGAGGTGGATGTTGGTCTCTTCTCCCATGTAACCAGTGATAGGACAAGAGGAAATGACCTCAAGTTGCGCCAGAGGAGGTTTAGGTTGGATATTGGGAAAAATTTCTTGACTGCAAGAGTGGTCAAGCACTGGAAGGGGCTGCCCAAGGAGGTGGTGGAGTCCCCATCCCTGGAGGGGTTCAAGAAGCGTGTGGATGTGGCACTTGGGGCCATGGTTTAGTGGGCATGGTGGGGTTGGGTTGATGGTTGGACTTGATGATCTTGGAGGTCTCTTCCAACCTTAACGATGCTGTGATTCTGTGGTTGTTTTTTGCAAAGACTGGTCCTGGTATGAAAGCTGATGGCAGAATAGGGCTTTTATCTATTTGAAGGAGAACTTGATCTCTTCAAAGTCATTCATGAACCTTTGCCATGTGTTCCTGCCCCTTAGCTGGTACTCAAAGAGGCTCAGTGTAGCATTGTTGGAGCAGGTCAGAGGTGAGATGGAGCTCTCTGTGCCCATCCAAACTAATGGATGAAAAAACACTGCAAAAAGAAGATTAAAATAATAGGTACAGGTGATGATAAACACTGTCAAGTAAACCAAAATGAATCAGTATGTCTCCATGGAAGCTGGAGCTTGCTTTTATCAGCATGTGTGGAGAGAAGGAGGGATGAAAGCCCCTGGTCCTTGTGCTTTTGTCACGGGTGGATCTCACCCATCTTTTGGTTGAATTGGGACTAATAATTGAAAAATACCAAGAGCATTTACTGCTCTGCCTTGTCCCCATAAAGGGAACCAACTATAAGCCGTCTTGCCTTCCTTTGGCTGCCTTTTCTGCCCATGGGCCACCTCTTATAAAGCCATTAAATGCTTTGGGTTGAAAGGGACCTCAAAGCCCCCCCAGTCCAACCCCTGCCATGGTCAGGGACACCTCCACCAGCCCAGGCTGCTCCAAGCCCCGTCCAACCTGGCCTTGGGCACTGCCAGGGACGGGGCATCCACAGCTTCTCTGGGCAACCTGGACCAGGGCCTCACCACCCTCACAGGGAAGAATTTCTTCCTAATATCCAGTCTAAATCTGCCCTATTTCAGTTTGAAACCACTACCCTTTGTCCTGTCACTCTCTGCCCTTGTAAAAAGTCCCTCCCCAGCTTTCCTGTAGGACCCTTTCGGGTCGTGGAAGGTCGCTATAGGGTTCCCCCAGAGCCTTCTCTTCTCCAAGCTGAACGGCCCCAACTCTCTCAGCTGTCTCCATAGCAGAGGTGCTCCGGTCCCTGAGCATCTCTGTGGCCTCCTCTGGACCCGCTCCAACAGCTTCATCGCCTTTGATGGTTGGGGTATCTCCAGGTGCTTTGATTTGCCCCTTCTGGCCCCTCACTCCTGCCCATGGTGACCATGCATGGGGCCATGCAATGGAGCAGTGCAAAGCAGTGGCCCAAATTAAATTAATCCCTGCAAAACTGGTGGGAACAACCCAGAGGGGTCATGAGCTGTGAGAGATGGATAGGATGTGAGCTGTATAAACCACCTCTGTGAAAACCAGCTGTGAAACCCAACTTTAAGGGTTTTTTTATGGCATATAATTCCAAGTGTAACGTATTGCTGGGATGCACGTTCCCTGGCCGTGGCTAGCGGAGCGCATGTTGGGACACATCTGCCCTGGGGAGTGGGAAGGTTTGTGTGAGCCTGAGTCAGCAGCAAAGGTCACTCGGCCGAAAGGGAGGGGAAGATTTCGTAATGGTAACGGATGCGACGTCGCTGTGTTCAGCGCTGGCGCCGGGGTAGATCAGTGTGTGTGCAGATCGGGGACAGAAATGTCAATTTTGGTGACGAGGGCATGACAGGGCAGCGATGCTCACCCTCCCCACCCCCCAAATTATGTCTTGTTCATCCTTGCTGCTCATTTCATTGCCTTCTCCCTTCCCGTGCCCCCATTTTTTGTGTGTCTTCAGTCCTCGTTTTTAATCTCATTGTTGCATTGTTTGGTTTTATGGCCTTGGCTCATCTTCCAGTTCCTGTTTGGGGTCATTATCATATATGATTACTCTTGGAGCCTAATGAAGGGGGATCAGACGTAACTCTGGGGTATGTCTGAGCCATTTAGTGTTTCTGAGCTCAAGGATCTGCAGAGGAAGTTTATTTTTAAGCTTCCTGAGAAGATAAATGTGAACATTGGATTGTTTAGGGTACGAGTAATAGAACTGAAATCCCTCCAGGGGGGAGCAGTGCCCTCTGGGTTTTGGAGCATCCCAGGGATAATTATCCTGTGCTGAGTAAGTCTCATTAGTCTCAAAATAGCTTTTAGTGGATGATCACATTTTCTTTCATGTTGGCTGGTGTGAAAGCTTGGAACTGTATATTAATATTTAGCCTTGATTGTAAAAGCACTGTCAACATGTTTTTAATATTATCCTTGTTATCCAGTCCCACTCTGGGAAAGCCAGGCATGGAAATATGAAACAATTACACAAAATAACAAACTCAGGAAATAAAAAAGGGCATTTTTTGAGGCTGCTCTGTAAGGTCCCACTTTTGCACTGCATTAAGAGATAGGAGGGAGCTGCAAAGTCTCACATGTCGGAGCCAGATGAGGTTGGAGCATCCTCAGGGTGGCTCCAGCTGCTGCTGTTGAGTGGCACTTCACAGGGAACTGTAGCTCCATCCAAGCAGCAGCAGGGCCCATGTGATGCTGTGTCACTGGCCCGGGCGCTGTGACATGTCCAAAAGTGACTCAGCCGTGTCCTTGCGAACCATCTGCTGATGTGATGCAGATCATTAGTCACTAATTGGTGTGTGTACGCTTTTTTTAGCCTGCTGGAAAGGCCAAGGGTCACAAAGATGTGAAGCAGCTGAGTCAGTCTTCCACATCCTTTGCCTTCAGGTCCAGCAGACTCTGGGTGGTGCTTGGAGATCTGTTTTAGTGTGCCCTGCCAGGACCCAGACTTTTCTCTATTTTATCTTGTACACTCAGGCTGTGTGACTATAAAGCCCATCACAACTGTGTGAGGGGACTGAGATCTGTATGTTAGCATAATAAAATCACAGAATGCATTGGGTTGGAAGGGACCTTTAAAGCTCATCCAGTCCAACCCCTGCACTCAGCAAGGACATTGGTACCAGATCAGGTTGCTCACAGCCCCATCAAGCCTGACCTTGAATATCTCCAGGGATGGGGCCTGCACCACCTCTCTGGGCAACCTGTGCCACTGATCTGCCACCCTCATGGTGAAGAACTTTTTCCTAATCTCCAACCTAAATCTACCATTTCTAGTTTAAAACCATTCTCCCTCATCCTATTCTTCTATGCCATAGTGAACAGCTCTTCCTCAGATTTCTTACAGGCACCTTTCAGGTCCTGGAAGGTCGCTATAAGGTCCCCCCACAGCCTTCTCTTCTCCAGGCTGAACAATCCCAACTCTCTCAGCCTGTCTTTGTAGCAGAGCTGCTCCAGCCCTTGGATCTTTGTGGCCTCCTCTGGATCCGCTCCAGCACTTCAATGTCCTTTTTGTGTTGGGGACTCCAAAGCTGGATGCAGCACTGCAGGTGGGGTCTGACCAGAGCAGAGCAGAGGGGCAGATTTGTCTCATTCTCCTCATCCAGTGCCTAATCTATAGGTCCTGGTGGTGTAGGTATCAATGCTTAGGTATTGCCTTATGTGGTATCTCAACTTGATGGCTTGTAGATCTGTAAATCTTATGCTATTATCTCAAGCCAGTCTTGAGGTCAGGTCTTTGATGCCACGTGTAATACCTGGATCCTCCTGGACACAGCTGGGCTTGGACACTGCCCTTCTGCTCCCTTGTTGGTGGGTTTTTCCGTCTACCTGAAACACCCAACTGAGTCTCTTCTACCTCTTGTTGCTTCTCTTGATGGTTACGGACCCCTTCTCTAGTCACAGTGTTGGTGGCACCCTTGGGTGCTCTGGAGATGGAGGTGTGGATGCTCATCCCTCATGGCTTCCTCAGCCATGGCAAATACTTTTGTAAATATACAAATACTGAGTGGTCAAGCACTGGAAGGGGCTGCCCAGAGAGATGGTGGAGTCCCCGTCCCTGGAGGGGTTCAAGAAGTGATGGATGTGGCACTTGGGGCCATGGTTTAGTGGGCATGGTGGGGCTGGGTTGATGGTTGGACTTGATCTTAGAGGTCTCTTCCAATCTTCATGATTCTGTGATTCTCTCTTCACTATGATTTTTAGCAGATGAGCTCATTCTGCCTTTCAGGCAAATGCTGCTACTTTATTTTTATATTATTTTTTTAAATTTCCCTGTTTGTTCTGCCTCCTAGTGCCCCACATTCCTGTTCTGTGTGTAGAAGCTCACAGCAGGGTTCTGAGTATTACCCGGAGAAAAATAAGTTACATTTTCCCTTTGGACAAGCTGGGAAAGTCCTCTGGAGCTGACACAGTTAAAAGCAAACCAAATATTTGGGGAGAATCGAGGAAATGGTGGCTTGGGCTTATGGAGCATTGCTCCAAAAGCTGAGAACCGGCGTCTCTAATTTATAAGCAGCCAGGTGAGACGGCATGAAAGCAATGTTGGACTACGTGGATACCCTGGCTTACAGTCGGAAGTGCTTTTTTCCCTTATCTGGGGAGCCAGGAGACCTTTGTCCTGAGTATTTGGAGGAATAAAGTCCA